TAAATGTCAGACGACAACGTTTTGTCAACCAACAGTGATGTTTTCCATATTTCAATTGATTGCCAAGTTCCTATAGATATGTGCATTGGACTTAAAAATTTTTAGTATCCAGTGCATTTTGGTTGCGTTCATAATAATATATACTAGCTGTTGCTTGCGACTTCTTCCCCGAGAAAATAAAAAATAAATAAAAACATAGCCTATGTTATTCAGTGATAATATAGCTTTTTAATGGTGAAACAATTTTTAAATTCGGCCACGTATTTTTTGAGTTATTTCAATACATACAAAATACAAATTTTTCCTCTTTATAATATTGGCATAGAGTATTTTTCTGTTAATATAAAAAAAGAATTAAAATCACACGAAATTTAAAGTCGAAGTGATTCTTAAAAAGATAAGTTGTAATAATTTTTATTACAACTAAATTATTAATTTTTAATTGCGACTAAAATGATTCAGGAAACTTGTAAACTGTATTATAATTCACACACCGCTTCTGTGGAATGTATTAACAATTGTTTGTGACTCCGCTACAAGTGTACAAGCGTACCATTGTCCCGCTACCTCTACTATTGGTCCCGTTCTAAACGATACGACCACTACGCTCGCTACATTGTATCCATTACTATAGATTATCTATATTATTTATCGTTACACTGTGATTACATTCACCGTAACTGTAATTTATATAAAATTGTCTATATTCTGTAATCTATGTATAGATGAAAAAATTGTTTTCGAACCGATGATGTCACATCTAAATTGAACTTGAATCATAAAGGTCAGAATAAAACTAGATTCTTTACAAACTAATGAAATACGAAAATTTTAGTTTTTGTATTCAAGATTTATTTTATATTTTTATTAATATTTCAAGGCTTAGTAAACAAGTTTAGACAGTGTTCAGTCCGAAATATTAATATGTAACAAATGTCTATATATCTGTGTACGAACAATAATAAATTAGTTCTTAATTATTCCTTTTATAACGATTCTTGGATGTTTTCGTTGCTATGTTGTCTAAACGATATTAAGCAAGATAGCTTTATGCATAAATTCATTTACGCAATGAAACTTAACCACTAGTTAAGCATTTTATTGATTAAGGATCCTTTCATATTTAACAAATAATAGTAATCGAATCTTATTCAGACTATGGAATAATTTAGTTCTAAGGTATAACTTGTAACTCATGATTTTCAATAAAAAATTCCAGTGCTGGAATTGAATAATGTAAATGGGAATCTTCGATGTTATAGTGCTAAGTTAAATACAAATCAAAAACCTTGCTAGATTAACAATGAACCTTCACATTGATGTTTACAGATTTCTAAAGATCCACCTTGACACGAGTAGCGAATAAACATAGATTAAAATTTATTTCGTGATCGTCTTAACCCGACCTTAGTTCTAGTTGGGTCTACCTGCGTTTTGCGGGGACTTGTGTGCACATATGGGCAAATAGTAAACACTTGTGTGTGCAGGAATGGCGTTGGCATATTTACATAACACTGTTTCTTTCTCGGAATGCGTAAACAGTTCGGTATGTGATGAGGAAAGCTTGGCTCTTCAACTGGGAGTTGCGAGGTTAATACAGTGATACACAATGAGTGATTTTGAGTTATTTCTCAAGAGAGAAACCGGTGTGTATGTATTTGCAGCCTACTTTCCGTACGATTGGTGCGCCCGCGCCGCGCCGCCCCGGCGAGCGTCGCGCGACGTGAAAGTGAATGGCGCAAACGAACGCGTACGGACGTATTTTACGTCCGATTTGTTTCGTACACGCGACCACACGTATGCCCGCAGCTTGTCGTGACGTAAGACACTTTAACGATACTTGAAGCAGTGAACTACATCGTTGCGGTTTATGGTTCAAACCAATAACAGATATTTCACATAATCATTCAAAAACGGTAAAACTTCTATTTAATCAGAAGTGTTTTATTTTTAAACAAGCTGCCGCCCAAAAATTTCGTTTTTGCAGAATTAAAAGAAATCCCGCGTTCATCAAACATCTACCAGCTACTTTCTAGTCAAAGTCCTGTCAAAATCGGTCGCCATTTTGAAGGCGCGGAATTTAAAGTAGCCTAACTATAATCTAATCCCGTCCAATTTAATTACCCTCCAGTGAAAGTTTCGCTAAAATCAGTACAGCCGTTTGGGAGATTACCCGAAACAAACTTGACTTGCGGACAGACAGCAAAAATGTTCACATGCGATTTTCGTTATCAGCAACGCAATTACATCGTCTTCGCGAAATCTGAAAATTTTCATTTGATACTACATACAGACCAACCAACCATAATTATATGTTATCTACATAGAATACATAGAAAATATAGTTAGATTAACGATAACGACGTTATAAATAAAATGTGTATGCAATTTATACATATCTTTGCTTTGTAACAATTTGTCGTAGTATAAAAAATTAATTGCAGGTAGAATAGAAAAAAGTGTTGGCAACTCAGCCTTTAGATTAGCGAGACATAACTTAGTTTTATAACATGTCGATGAATACGTTTTGCGTTATTTACAAGTAACTGATTACAGAACGCTATGAAAATAAAATAATGTTTGTCACGAACGCCTACATACGCTATACGGTGTCAAGGGTGATGCCGAGACAATGTGAATATTTGAGTACTTCTGTAACCTCCAAGTTATTGCTCATCAAAGGTATATAACAAAAACTATTAATACATCTATATACATATACATAACTTACGCCTATTTACTATGTATCATATCTAAGTAAAGTTTACTGGTATTCTTTCGCCTTTTGTTCATACATTTATACATGCATGCTTATTTGTTTCAAGTGCTTTTTATATCATCAATTTGGTTGGTATAAGGCTTACTAGGATATCCTGTCAACGCTCACTTACTTTCATAACATAATCGTAACATTTGTTGCAAAAAATCTACAACTATATGTAACAAGTATGATATTTTGAATCGTATTTGTCAGTGATATAAGGTTTCTAAGTACATAATTGTCAGTTATAATCAGGCTGACATGTAGGAAGGTAACACCTCGTATAGAATCCTTGCTATGTAACGGTAACACGGAAGATACTATGCTCTGCTCTATATTGTAACATAATCCATGATATAAACATCAACGTATAATACGACATGTGTCTATTGAATAAAAAATTAATTTAACCAAAGTTACCTAACAATTTGTTACATTTGTTAACCGCCCAAACATTAATCACGATTGTCCACTTATGTAAGTGCAATGACATCGAAGACACAATGTGTTGCGGACTCCGAGCAACTAAATATGCCATTAAAACCATGTGAGCATTAGTTGAACGTTGAACTATGCGAAAATGGAAATGGTGTCGCCGGTTCGCAAGACATATGTCTTCGCGTAGGTGTACGTGTGATTTGTATTTAAAGTTTGTCCATATAATATTGAGATCGAGTCACCGCTTGCGCAGTTATCTGACCTCGCAACAACCTTCGCCTTTATCCAATCTCAAACTGAATAACACTTTATAATTACTCGAAAGTTTTTCCCAATAACTAATAACTATTATAACATCACTCATATTTTTTTGTTAAATTATCTATCAATGTTTATTAGAATAATAATGTAAAAATAACAATAGTTTCCGACTGCGAGTGAATGTTAAGAAGTGAGTCATTTTCTAATTACAGATATTTGTCAAATACAAATCGAGAAATTGGTACAACTAGTAAAATGTGTAAACGTTTTATTTTCTATTATGCAATACTTTTGGATTAATTTAAATATGAACACAATATAAGTAAGTTATTGTATTATGAAACGTAGAACCGTATACCTTGGTATGAAATTTTTATGACGTAATGAAGTATCCTTATTGACTGGTCCTGATTTTATTTCTTGGTGAATAATATTGCACAGCTGTTACCGAGGTTAGATAAGTTTCGCACGCTCAATTACAAGATTGGTCACCGACTTTTTGTAACTTAACTTTCAAGAGCTCTGTAGATTCCTATCTCTACTTTTTATAATTCCAATATAATGGATAGCTGCGATTCATTATTTTTTTTTTCGATCATTGTCGTTATTGATCGACTTAAAATTAATGTATCTTCTCTGAAAAGTCCGGTAATCCGACACATTTTAATCTTACTAATGTTATAAACGCGAAAGATTATCTTAACCTATACTGTTATAAAGAGGAAAAAAATGTATTTTTGGATTTTGTATGTATTGAAGTAACTCAAAAACTACTGGACCGATTTCAATTCTTTTACCATTGAAAATCTACGTTATCGGTGACTAACATAGGCTATATTTTGCTCTTGGCCCTTAATTAGAGAATACAAATGACAGTAGCTAGCGCTTTTACATCCAAGCTACTTGCACGTGTCAGTTTGTAAGTGTATAGGCTAACTGGCAATCAAGGAACTAGAACGCTACTTTTGTGGCAATAATTTATTATTATTTAGCATACAAAGCTATTTGTATAACAACATTTTATTTTTTGTAATTTACCTATTTTTATTATTTCACATTGTTATTCTAAAATCGTTTGAATAGTAACGTCAGAAAGTTCAAAATGTACAGGGAAGTGGA